CAATGTAGGTCACATGATATATAACTAATGAGATTAATAACCCTTACTTGAGCAGAGGTTATTCCTCTATAAATTAGATTTTCTTCCCAGGTCTGTTCATTGGTTTGTCTTAATTAATAAATTTAAGAAAAATTAGATTCACCACTCTGACTAATGAACTAGCAACATTTTGTGAGAAGTATAACCACCATTGTCGTAAACAATTGTTGTATCCTAGTTTCTTGTTATTTTCAAAATTCGATGACGAATTTTTTTTTAAGGGGGGAGGACTGAAACAACCCGAATTTTTATTTTCAAAGATTTTCTAATTAAATTTAATAAACTGATAGCCTGGAAATTTATTTCAATATTTTAATGCGAATTTTAATGCGAACACATGTGAGAACCGAACCAAAAATCATTGAAAAACCCGTAAACCATTGGAAACCGAAGATTTTGGGCCGAACCGAACCGAATCGAACCCGGTTCAACCCAAACATCTAAAACTTCCCTTTTCTTTAAGCTCCAAAGCTAAAACTACAACTCCCTCCAGCAGCACATCTCACTTCTCGGACACCACCAACACACCAGCCACCAATTTTCCTCTCCCTCTTCTTCTTCCTTCTTCCTTCTCTCCTTCTCCCTTCTTTCCTTTCTCCACCTCTAGCCCACCACCGCACCACCACCACCTCCTCCTTTCTTCCTTTTCTTCTTTCTTTCTTTCTTTTCTTTTCTTTTCTTTTCTTTTTTTCTTCCCTGCGTCTATCTCTGTGTGACTGGCGAGAGACAGCAGATCCACTGCACGCCACCCAGCCCTCGCCGCCTCTCTCCACACTGCCAGTCGACCTCCGGCCACCAGCCCCATTTCCGGTTAATCGAATTCCGGCAACAATATATGATGTATAATTTAGTTTTAGTGAATGAAATTAATTGTTTGTAGGTAATTTATTTAGTTAAGTTAGTGTTCTTGAATTTATTTAGTTAATTGATTTAGTTTAGTTAATAGTTAAGTAAGTTGTAGTTAATTGTTTGTAGCTAATTATTTAGGGTAAGTTACGTGTTAGTTAATATTATCAATTAAATTAATTTTATTATTTGGAAGTTACATGAATTTAGTAATATTAGTTAATTGAAATTAATTTTTTATTATTTGTAAATTAATGAGTTTTAGTTAAGTTTTAGTAAGTAATGTTATTAATGTTAGTTAAATTAAATTTAACTTATTATTTTCCTAGTTAAATTATAAGCTAATTAATTAATTTCGCGATAAACTCTGTGAGTAGATTAATAGCTTTATAAATTTTAGTGTGATTTTAATTAAGGTAGTTTAAATATAATGGTATTGTAATGAGTATAGTAGCCTTGGATTGTGTGGTGATGTTGAAATTTGAAGGAGATGGGAAAATGTTATTTGATAATTGCGCCGGATGGATGTGGCTGTGTAGATTTGGCAATATTAGATATATTGTTGATATTTAAACAGGTGGGATCAGTCCAATTTTTAGGGGAGATGCGGCCCGAAATGTTCGCCTACGAAAAAAAAAAAAAAAAAATAAATTCGTGGATTAAAATAAATAGATTTTTAGGATATTTTAACAGGTAGATAGTCCAATTTTTAGGGGAGATGTTGCCGAAATTTCGGTAGAAAATAAAATAAATTTCGGTAGGAAATAAAATAGAAGTCAGAAGAAAATAAGTAAAATAGAGTTTGGTAGAAAAATAAAAATTTATTATAGAAAAGAAAATAAAACTCTTAGAGTGGTAAAGAAATATTTTTATCTGATATAGTTATTTTTGTTTTGTGTCATTCTTTAAATTTCTTAGATCGCCCGGGTCCATCTAGTGCTCCTCCAGGACAACATCAAAACTAGAATTTCGCTCTCCATCACTGTGAGTAATAATAAATAATGCATATCAACACTACATTTGCATAACATTTATTTATAAACATTATATTTTTATTTACATATTTACAATATATTATAAGTATTTTATCATATATATTATGCTACGATCACTATAATTATATTTATATATGATTGTGCATTTGGATGAAATTGGTGTATTATGATGAATGAATTGTTTGATTATTTGTGCTATGACTATACTGTGATTTGTTTGTGTGGAATTGGGATGAAGTGGGTCACCATGGGTTTGTGAAAATGGTATATGTGATATGGATCCTGAATATGATATGAAATTTGGCCGGGTAAATGGGTGCGAATCATGCTTCATCCATGGTGTTTTGTGTTGAGTATCTTGATGTTCTTTGTTAATGCGGTATATCTGATTCTGATTTCTGTTATATTCTGACTAATGGCATTCCTGATTCCTGATTCGTTATATCTATTCTTTATATGCGTGATTCCTGATAATCTCCACATTTAGCTGTTTTCTGTGAGCCGGGTAAATTGTAGAAGATCGGCAGACCACACACATGCTGTGCACCTACTTGCTATGATCTGTGTGAATGGAAAAACACAGGTGGTTTTCTTTATTGGGATGATTATCATTTTGCCAGCTTTAATGAACACGCCACCTGATAATCTAGATTTGATTCGCAGCCCGCCAGGGTGCCTCCTGTTGTAGTGAGCGCCTGCTATGATCTAGATTTGATGGAGCACGACCTAGGTTACCTCCTGTTTGTATTGAGTGAACACAGATATAAGAAATGAAATTTGAGAAGAACCAAACACATACTGTGATTTGTGTAGGGGCTGCGCCAACTGTGAGATTTATGCTAGACCGTCGGCCAGTATTGGGGAATCGGCTCACCTTGGTGCACATTTGAGATGGATGAAGCCATGTGGGAGAGGACGGCATGAGCCAACATCTATTCGGGTGTTTCAGGTGGATACGTCCATCTTCTTGGATCTAATTCCACGTTGAATTGTGATTTGAAAGACCGGTGATGTTGTTTGTGGTTGCAGCTTTCATGATTTTTATGCCATTATGAATGTCATGTGATTGTGTGATCATTTCCAGGGGCCCAATTTACAACATTAGGGCTGTTTCATGAAAATCGTGTCACTTCCGTTGGACTGTATTGTTGTGTTGCAGGTGTGTATTATTTTATTATTTATTTTCACTGATTGCAAATACTCTCTATCCCCCACCTTTCTTCTCCAAACTTTCTCTAGTGTTGAGAATAGGAAGTTGCTGATCCAACGGAAGCTCTGGCAATCATTCTCCGCAGACGTTTATAAATGTAAAAACTTTATATTTCTGTTTATTTACTTTTGGATGTTATAAATATCTATTTATCAGAATAATTATTGAACTCCGCAGTATATAGGGTTGCCTGCATTAAATTTGGGCAACTTTTTAGTGTCGTAATGGTCGTTACTTTTATAAATGGTATTTGTAATGGTATATGATAATATATGAATATAAATATGAGGCTACTACTACGTAAATCGCGGCCCGGGGGCCTTATGCTTACCTGGGCCCTAGTTGCCGGTGCCGGCCCACGGAAACGGGTTCGTGACCAAATTAAATAACGAAAGGATTTCATTAACAAACTAAATGCGGAAAAAATAAACAAAAAATTTAAATTAGTGGTAAAACAAAGATAAATTGATAGACTAAAAAATTAAATTTTTTAAAATAATTTCCAAACTATAAGCTTATTTGAATAGAATGGAAGGAGATTAATTTAGTAAAAGTAATTAGGCTTACTACGGGCCTCGGGGGCCTTATGCTTACCTGGGCCCTAGTGCCGGTCCGGCCCACGGAAACGGGTCGTGACAAATAATAACGAGATTTCATTAACAACTAATGGAAAAATAAACAAAAAATTAAATAGTGTAACAAAGATAAAATTGATAGACTAAAAAATTAAATTTTGAAAATAATTTCCAACTATAGCTTATTTGAATAGAATGAAGAGATTAATTAGTAATTCACTCTAAAAAAATTTAGGTAAAAAAGAAAATTCTTTATTGACCCAACTAATAGATTTATGTGACATTGTCCAATTGCAACATATCTAATACAATAAAAACATAACTATGTGAAAGAAATATTTTAACAATTCATTATTTTTAGATTCATAAATAAAACATGTCAATAGACTTTACATGTAATTTTTATACAAAAAAAAAAAAACAATATAAATGAGTGAATATATGTACAAAAAAACTTCTAATTAAAAAGAATTATAATTAGCTGATGTAATATTTTCACCAAGGCTTTTTAAACCTATGAAATTTGTTAAATTATGGAATTACAAACTTAGGTTATATATATATATAGGTAAAACCCTAGGTTTTTAATTCCGTATATTTTCAAATTTTATTTTATTGGGAATAAATTATTAAAATTAATTTATTGATTCAAAATTAATAAATTATTAAAATCCCTCATCCAAAATCTCTCATATCAAATACAGTCTTAAGTCCCTTTATATAAACTCATAATCTATTTAATTTTTTTTAGAATTCACAATAATTTAATATTTTTTAACCATAATAATAGCATTGTTTTCAAAACATAAGATTGAAATTCATAAGCGATTATATGCAAATTTAAGATTGCTTAAAATGGATAATTATACGTAATCTGATTCAAAAATATCCTTAATTATTAAAAAAAAAGTACTACTTACAATACAAAAATTCAACATAATCTAAAAAAAATTAATTTTATTTTCGCTCATCATAAATTTAATTTAAGATGAAAGGTACATGAATTTGGATTCTAATTAAACTATATAACACACATTAGTTTATTATTATTTGTAAATGAATTAATAGTAATTCTCCATGGGATACCTTATTTATTTGTAAAATAATTAAATATTTTATTAATATATCAGTCTTTTGCATATATAAATATTTCGATGTGTACGACATTACTGTTAATGATAAGTGAGACAACGGCAAAGATGTTGGCATTAGACAAATCGTCTCCGTAATTTTACAATAACAGAAGTGATCAAGTTCCCTAAACTAACACGTGGCCCGCATCTCACGCTCCGATTACCCACCAAAAGTCCACACCAACAGTAAAAGAGAGACCTTTGCTCTTTGCTCTCCTCCATTTCTTCTCTTTTCTTCTTCTTCTCCTTCGTCTTCGTCATTAAAAACAGAAGCTTTCTCTTTAAAATTCCATTTAAAGAACCAAATTTTGCAGTAAAAGCTACCTTTTTGTCTTCTGGGTTGGTCTTTTCTCTACAATGTTGTGGTAAAAGTGGTTGCTTTTGCACAAAAATGGCTTTTCAAGATCATATGTCACAAGAAATGGCTTTTCAATCATCACTTTCTGCCTCTGCCTCTTCCTCTGCTTCTGTTGGTCCTTCTTGGCTTAGCAACGCAGTTATCCGGCGAGCCGACGACTTTTTTGGTCGGAACAGAAGCGATAAAAACGACCATATTAATAGTAACAACGGTGGTGGCGGGGAAGAGTTGTTATTTGACGGTGGAGGTGGAGGTGGAGGTGGAGGTGGCGGTGGGGATAATTGGGAAAGAGCGAAATGCAAGGCGGATATATTGGGGCATCCTTTATATGAGCAATTGCTAGCAGCGCACGTGGCTTGTTTGAGGATAGCGACGCCAGTGGACCAGTTGGCGAGGATCGACTCGCAGCTGGCTCAGTCGCAGGAAGTGATGGCTAAGTACTCCGTGCTTGGTAACGGTCATGTTGTAGATGAGAAAGAGCTTGATCAGTTTATGGTTAGTTTCCATTTACTTGAAGAACTCTCTATTTTGTAGGCTGTCGTTTCTTCTAATTAAAGTTCTTTTCTTGTTGAGATATGTTTGAAAGAATACAAATTTAAATTTTAGACTAATATTGTGGATGATTGATTGTTCATAAACATGTTCTTTTTGAGTTTTATTATTTGGGATACTTTTTCTTTTAAATAGATTTCTTTTTTATGTTTGCTTTTTTTTTTTTCAAAATTTCGAAGATTAATTGGTGAATTACGTTGATTATTGGGGCTTTAGGTTCAGGTTATTATGGGTATAGAGTAGCAGAAGATAATGTTTTCTTTTCCCTCTTCTTTTTGTAGTCAACTTTTTGTATTTGTATAATACTTCTTAAAATTTTAAGTTAAAACGGATGTGAAACTTTCCTCCACCCTTGCAATTTTTGTTGTTCACTATCTTCTCCATTTTGGAATGAGAGTTAAGAAAAAGCACTCTTGGTTGTCCGTGCTTTGGTGGTTGATGTGAAAAAGCCTATAGGTTCGAAGAGCATACTGGTACTTGGTGACGTGAATCAGAATGTCTTGGTTGTGGCAGCATCATTAGAGGAATCAATTATGCTAGCTTTATTTCACATAAATATTTGAACTTTCGGGGTGCTTTGGAGAATCTCTTTGTTGAAAATATTGTCTTTTTTCCCCACTTCCTACATGGATCAGTCCTTGCTATATGTTATTGAATTTGTTCCTGAATGAAACACAAACTTAAAAGATTCTTCAAAGTACTTCTATTATCATGGATTTCCAAGCGACTCGAATTGCAGTCCTTGCTTAGACTTTTGGTGCTTAATCTTTTGTCCTAAGGGAATTCTATGGTGAATTTGTTTCTAATGAATTTAATCTTATCTTGATGGATTAGAAACGCTTCTATCCTGCAATCTTGAAAACAAAGTTACCATAAAACTTTTGCCTTGAACATTATAACATCTGTTGAGTAAATCATACATGTTGTGGACAACCATGAAAAAAGAATTATTTTCTCAATAATGAAATTTTCAATTATCAATACTTTGAGGATCAGTGCTTTACTGATGATAATAACTTTGTGTCTTATGGGCCTGAATGGCTCAACTTATTTCGTGCAGAACCTGCAAAACATCTCCTCCGTCTTTTCCTTTCTTTTTCTTTTTTCAAAAAGAAGAGTAGATGCTCTCATGAGCTGTAGACGTATATGCAATAAAGTTGCTGATGACAAACCATAATACCAAATCAACTATACACAACTAGTATGCTTTTACATATAATAAAGGCAGTTCCTTGTCAAATAATGAATGCTTCCCAGAATACCTAGGTTTTGGGACTGGTTTTGGTATTGATTCCTCCTCAATCATTTATGTGAAAAGTCATTAAAGTGGTTTTTGGAAGGGTGATTGTCTCTCAAATAATTTGAGAATAGAATCTGTCTCATAAAATGTTATCTTTAACAAAGCTTTGCCTTCACGTTTCTTCCAAAGAGTGTTCCTAAACTATAGGAAGTTGACTAAATGATTTGACATTCACCAATGCCGTGTGTACATTATGACCAGTGAATTCAAAATAATTAAAGTTTTAGATTTTTTCTCTTTGATCAACATTAAACAAAGTCTTGTCTCTGTGTATCAAACTGGATTGATAAAAATGAAACATCTCAATCCTTACTTGTACAAACACTGATTTTACTGTGGGGCAGGTTTAGGTCCTCCAGGCCCAGTTAACACAGACCTGCCTGTGGAGCAAGGGATGCAACCAACCCATCAAAATATAATTTTTCCCCTTGGAACTGAAAATAGAAAGAAGAAAAAAGGAGGAGGTATAAATGGATAAATTCTGTTTATTGGAAAACCTGATTCATCTTCTCCTGCTCCATTTTGGTTTCTATCCTCCCAATTTTGACATATAGAAGACTTTAATTTGCACTTTAAGTATACATGGGAAAAAAATTGCATTCTAAGTTGATTTCTTTCTAAACTAGGTTTGTTTGGAACACAACTTCAAGGTCAAGGTTACACTATAGTTATGTAGGAATACATTTATTTCAATGTTAGGTGGCAATGCATTTTCTTAATATTATTTTAGTGTCATATGGTTAACTCTGTTTCCTGCTTTTGCACTGGAGTAATTAAAAGATTAAGCACAAGAATAATAAAATATATAATTTGAAGCTCCTGGTTCCCTCTCTTAAATAAAGACCTTGTTAATGATAAAAAATCTACCTATCCACTTTGTAGTCATGGCACCAAGTCATAAGTATAATGGTAACTCATGCTGGGGTGGGCTGATTTGTTTCTTGAACAAGTCACCTAATAAGATGAGCTTGTCCAATTTCTGTCTCGGTGGCCTGGAGAAGTCACCCAGCAAGGTTTGTCCAGCCCTGATTACAACTCTTGCTAGCAGTGAATATAGCAAATAAGTTCATTTGACTTTAGTGATTATGATAATAATATTTTACTTTTGTTGCATTTATTTGGATGATTGTTGCTTAATTATAAATAAATCAAAAGGTGTAGTTAAGCTATTGAAAAATTAACGGTACCATAATAGATCACATGAACACATGTTACATATGTTTATATTTGTCAAAGCAATAATTCCTGTATAGTAATCCTCGTCCAGTTCAGCATAAATTAATGGACTTATATGATGATGAAGTTGAATATGTCTTTCTGCGGATGAAGTAGCATAGGAAATTTTCTGCGTGAGTGACTTGGTTTGCTGCATGGTATATATTTGCATGATATAACTGTACAGGTTTGCTACATTCAATGATATTTACGAATTCGCATGATGTAATAAATTATGTCCTTTTCTGCTTGCTTGTAAATCAACTGCTTTTACGTCAGCTTTTTGTTTGTTTTATCTGAATATCCGTTTTTACCCCTTTCACCTTTTTTTTTTGTTCTCTCTGATGTAGACACATTATGTCATATTACTCTGTTCATTTAAAGACCAATTGCAACAACACGTCCGAGTTCATGCTATGGAGGCAGTAATGGCTTGCTGGGAGCTCGAGCAATCTCTGCAAAGCTTGACAGGTAAATTCACTTACCCTCTTTGAAAACAGAAACAACAGATAAGACACAAGTGTTCTTCGCTAGATATTGGAAAGAAAACTATTTATTTGTATGTTGTGGAATCATACTGTTTCTCTGGTTGACCTATTTTCTCTTCTTTATGCTCATAGCCAGTTTGCACGAATATTCAGACATTGCAAGTTTTCTTGCTGCTGTCTTTCATCATTGCCAATGTTCTTGATCCCTGCTGTTTAACCAATTATTTTACAAATTTTAGATTTTTTCTTGAAGGTTATGGATTTAAGCCATGAAAACACCTTCTCTACAAAAAAATAGGAGGAAGGTTCCATACATCAACCCTTCCTAGAGCCCACACATGTTGGATGCATTGTGCACTGGTCACCTTTCTTTTTTATTTATATTGAAAAGCGTTTCAAATTTCACCTGGCATTGTTTGAATATGCTTTGAGGTTTTTTTCTAATAGTAATACTAAAGTTTTAGTAGAGATGAAGAGGTGGAGACAAGGATCAGGTGTTTGAAATCATCATATATAAATTCCATAGGAAGTCTCAAAGTGCCCGTTCCAAAAAATTTAAGGATGTTACCAAGTGGTTACTTAGTTGGGTGTAGGGTGCTTTCTGCTTTGTTTATGGGTTATGGGTTTTGGGACGATACAGTTATTTAAAATATTGGATATAGGGAGAGGAAGGAATACAATTTTTTAGCAATTAATGGCAGAAAAGTGGTAACGAGGAGTAATTGAGCCGAGGTGAAATGTTGTTTTGATATCTAAAGAACATGATGTAGTCAAAGGTAATAAAGGATACAACAAAGGTTAATGGGTCAATTTTTATTAGCATAACTTGAATCTTGGCTTTTCTTTTGTGATGCAGAGAAATAACTCTGATCCTAATTTAGGTTAGATTTGCTCTTGAAGAGAGGACAAAGAAAGCATCAACCAAATAGGCTGAAGCCTCCGGTACACAACTAGGAAATAGACCAAAAAAAAGAAAAAAAGAAATAGACCAAAAAAAAGAAAAAAAGAAAAAACTGAACATCGCAAATCCTAAATCTGAAATCTGCTTTAAAACTAAACATTGAAGTCCCATTTATAAAAATATAATCTAACTAGAGTAAGGTCTTAATCATAACTTAATAGAATAAGGTCTTAAATATAAATCCTACTAGAATAACATTAAATCCTAGCAATTAGTAGAACTTGACTCTAAATAAGGTCTCACTTAATTAGAACACAATTAACTTAGTTTGGAACTGCTACACTACTATGCCAGCAATTTACTGCAGTAATGGGAAACATTAACTTTGTAAATTCTTAAAATTTGATATTCTTCTTGCATCATTTGGCATTTGAGGGCTTCTGGAAAGTTTAAAGGCTTTTTATTCTTCACTTAGGTTTCGTTGCTCTTGATTTTTATATTGATCTAGGATTCAGGGGTAGCATCCCTTCGATTCCCTGAATAAAATTTTATTTATGCTTAAAGATGTCTACATCTATGAATTTCTTCTTCGTTCTTCAGTCTATTTTTGAATTGTCTGTTTTCAACATTCATGTTTGTTTACCATGATAAGCTTCAAACACACTTAATTGACCCCATCATACCCAAATGTGCGTCACTTTCTCATAAAGGGGGAGGAACACAGTTTAACTTTAATCCACACAGGCAGCCATCTCAAATTCTCTGCCCCATTATCAACTTTTCTTTATTTGATGAAAAGCTTGGTTAAATTCTTATGGAATTCTCAGCTCTGTAACTCAACTGATATATGCCATCACTTACAGCTGCATTATCACTCACCTTGTTTACATTGTTGAATGAAGAATCCAGCGTTCCATTGAAGAATAAAACTGATGCATTCAAATTTAAGATCTTTTTGTTTTTCTTTTTGCAAATACTTTACTGGTTACTTTTGCTATTGGTGCCATGTTATCCCTGTTCATTGGTGGTTGCAGCATGTTTATGACAGGTTACATTCAATTTGCAGCTTAATAAATAAATTTCTCAGGGTTGAAACAGTTTATTCTTATTCATGGAATTCTTGAATTTCAAGGATGATAATTTCTTGATACCGTAGTGTCCTGTACACACATTCAACCTCTTTGTTGAAAACCTTCATTGACCATATGGGAATCTTGATTTAGTGGACTTCTTTTATTTGACCTTTGCATTATCATTTACATCGACAGTGGGATTTTTTTTTTTTTGAATGTGATACCATGGTGAGTAGGATCCACGGGTCCTACTGGCTCTCTTTTCTTCTATCTAAAAGTAATTTTTCCCTTAATCCTTCAAATGAGATGCACACTTCCAATTGGTTCTCTTCCCTTTTTCATCATCAAAATTTCTTGGTAGAACTTTGATCTTTGGAGCTGGCAAGCCTCACAATGCATGCACAATGCATGCTGTAGAAAGTTGCCTGCTGATAGTAACTGATAAACTTGTTGAAGATCTTATGCTCTTCTCCCTTTTCCCTTTTTTTGATAATATGATTAGAGTAGCTAAGCTTCAAAATTAATCATGATTTATGGCAGGTGCATCATTGGCTGAAGGCACAGGTGCAACAATGTCTGACGATGATGATGACCAGGCAGATAGTGACACAAACTTGTATGATGGAAGTCTGGATGGATCAGACTGCATGGGATTTGGTCCTCTTGTGCCTACAGAAACTGAAAGATCATTGATGGAGCATGTAAGAAAAGAATTAAAGCATGAACTCAAACAGGTAAAAATGAATAATGTTTAAAGGTTATATTCCTTTCCAAAAATGTTGCTCTGCTATAAACAGCCTTCTGTTGTTTAGGGTTACAAAGAGAAGATAGTGGACATTAGAGAGGAAATTCTACGTAAGAGAAGGGCCGGAAAACTGCCAGGAGATACCACCTCCCTCTTAAAAGCTTGGTGGCAATCGCATTCCAAGTGGCCATATCCAACAGTAAGTATGATGTGATGTCTTCAGCGTTAAGGCATGTTTGGTTCAATTTGAAAATGGATATCTAAATCCAAAGAATCCTGTTTCGGTTTATTTTCTAAATGACCAAATAGAATTTATCGCTTTTATTAAGATTTATAGTAAAAAATAAATATAATTTTATATAAATTCGGATTATTTAAACAGGTAATTTATGGGGAAAAAAAAGATTCCCCATAGACCAAACTACCAAATACAATCTTATTGTAATAATTGCATTCCATTCCAACCTAGAGCAAAGTAAATGTGACTTAGTGGCTTGACCATATATATATATTTTATCAGTAATTCGTCAAAAATCTTCTTTGCTTCTATTTATTTTAGGAGGAAGACAAAGCAAGATTGGTGCAAGAAACAGGCTTGCAGCTAAAGCAGATAAATAATTGGTTCATAAACCAAAGGAAAAGGAATTGGCATAGCAACTCTTCAGGAGCAACTTTGAAGAGCAAGCGCAAGAAGTAAGATGATTATTATGTGACATCTCAGTTTTTCAAAAGCACTTCCTTCTTGGACATTTTACCAATTCTAACTGAGTAGACAAGCAATGCAGGTGAAAAACAGTGACAAGAGCTTCACTTAAATGAAAAAGAGTCTGTCAGAAGACTCCTTATCGATTTTCTTTACCTGGAGAGGTTCATCATCGGAGCATCAAAGAGCTTTAGAGACCACTGCAGTGAGAAAAATTGTTGTATAAGAAGAATAGATTAAAAGTTATGTTTGGTATTCCTCATTTGATCATACAGGAAATTTTAAGCTTCATAGAAGAGGCTGCTATTCATTAGCTAAAGATGGATTAAACTCACTCACCTATCTAGTTGACAGGTTATATAGTTGAAGATGTAGTGATGATTATGATGCATATATATGTCATAGTTTTTAAACTGTAAGCATATCAGATTGTTGAGATAGCTGCTTCTTGTGCCATGGGCCTGTAATTTTGCAATATTTGGTTTCTGCTTCTATATATGTGATGAGAATGATTTTAAGCTATTGTTTTATATGTAATTGTGTCTGTTTTATACTCTGCACTGTTTGGTATCTGCTTTTTGCATGCCCAATGGTAAGTTGGGAGGAGCTTTGTTGGCCAACTACATAAATTTCTACTTGCAACACTTTTTCATACTAATAACAATAGTGTGTAATTTTATAATGAATTTTGTTTGATTGTAATAAAATATTTACTTATCTTAACTCTATATTGGTAAATAAATTTCAAATTTTAAATAGCTTTCTTTAAATTCCAATAAATAAAATGACAAATAGTAAACTCATGTATGTTATTTGAATACCTAATATTTTTGTCAATTTGTTCCTTAAACTCTATCCAAAACACATCTTTGAATAAAAGGATTCTTCATAGTACTATTATTAATCAAGAACACATCTTTGAACAAAAAGCATTCTTCGCAGTACTATTATTAAAAAAAGGTCTAACCTGAGAGTAGTTCATCTTTTATTTTGATTTGAATTTTCAAACTATTTGGTCTGACATTTTACTACTTTGAAAACAACTGCAAACTGACTGCTTTGTGTGCCTCACCCCAAAATTCAAAAAATAAAATAAATAATAACAAAAATAATAATCTCATTATATTCTATAATTTCATAGGAAATATAATGGAAAATAGAGAGAAAATTGAAAATTGCATATGCTTTATCTATATATGGTCACAAAATCCCTTTTCACACTGGGATAATGAAATAAATGAAGAATTTAATTAAACATGAATGACACCACACAAAATTCAAAAATAATCACAGCCCATTTTGACGTTTTTCATTTACAGTAGTAAACCTAGAAGAGAAAGCAGGAAGAAGCAAACCATCTTCTTCTCTTCTATCTGCACCACCATCATCGAAGTTAAGAGCATAGCTTTGCGGGTCATATTGAAACTGACTATTATTATTATGATGATGATTATTCTTCTGTTTGTTGAAATACAGGCTAATTTTTCTAATGAAAGTCTTCCACTTTGGGCCTGCTACTACCTCTGAAACCTCCTTCACCTTCTTGAATTTCCTGAAGCAGAAGACTCGAAAGCAATTGCACCCACTTGATGAAGATGCTTCTTCTTCGTAATCATATTCGTAGCCTTCGTCCTCATGCTCTATTATTGGTGAGTATGGGGTGGCCATTAGAAACAGAGAGAGAGAGAGAGAGAGAGAGAGAGAGAGAGAGAAACAGAGAAAGATGAGAATATACGATTTAATTGCAGAAAACAAGAGAGGCCAGTCTGTCTTAATATGGAGAAGAAACCATTAGCATACGAAGTTGAACAGAAATAGGAGAGACGAAATATCCAAGAAAGGAAAGGAGTTGCTATTTCATTAAAAAGTAGTACAATTGAAGAGGTATGTATTCGTGTGGTGACTTTGCTAAAATGACAAACCAATTATAATGGAGGAACGATTACGTGGCGATGTGATATTGGGTTGTGTTGAAAATTTTATGACCAGTTTTGGAAATTGATCGAGAAAGACCAAGTGAAATACCGTATTGGTGCATTGGTAGGATGCGTAGGATTCTTGACCAGTTCACTAAAAATTAGCCAGCGAAAGTTGGAAATAGCAGTTGACATCTACGCGGTATCTTAAACGAACCTACTACGCGCGAGCTTGCTTAACCAGCGCCCTTGCAGCTTCAAGATTCATCAAAAAAAATTTTTTAAGGCATTATTAAAGTGGAATTGATTTTATTTTTTTATAAATAAATTTTTATTAATATTTTGACTATGATAGAATTTTATAAACAATTTATTTTATTAAAATTTCAGTGTAAAATGACACTTTAAATTGAATAGTAATTCAAGTCAAAGTAAGATTATTGATTTAAATCGAAAACTTTGAACTATCTTTTATACAAATACAAAGAAAAGTAAGTAAGGGAATAGTAAATAAAGGTAAACTTATATAATCTACAAAATCTATCTAATTGAAAAAATTTTATACTAGTATTTTTTTTTTTTCCCTTTTTTGAAAAAGAACACAAATATTGCATTAACTTGATGCAAAATATTCCAACAAACACCGCGGGATTGAATCCCAAATTTGAAAGCTAGCATGACAGCAAGATGCTCGAGCGACCGAGCAAGCAAGGGTAAGAGCACTGCTTCCAAAGAAATTGATTTATAATTTTGATTGCTTAACTAAAGAATTTTTAGATTTCAAATTCAAACATAATTGAGAGGTAAATTAACCCTAAAAAGAGAAAAAGAAAAGGAACCAACCCAGCATAACTATATTTAGTTGGTGAAGGTAGTATATAACGCAGCATGTGAGCACTGGATCGTGACCAAAATCAAAAGATTATAAAGAGAGAGTTAAAAGGATTGGTTCAAGACAGTTGAACATATTTCCTTATTAATAGACCAAAACATTCAAGTGTTAAAATATTAATCACAAGAAGACGACAAATAGCCAAAATTGCATACAAAACAAAGGTAATTACCCTATCCACTTCACAAATCACGTAAAGTCTATATAAACCCAAGAACAGAACAAATATTAAACAAAGATAGAACCTAATTCTTCACAAATTCTATGAACTGGGATTCCTATTTTAAAACATTGGGAAATAAATAAAAAAATTAAAAAATTAAAGGCTCTTCCCTGTACTACATTTTTAGCATAAAAACAAGTCTTTTTATAGCCCAGATAAGCGCACATGGCGAGAATAGACAAGACAAAAGGCTAAACTTGCCTGGAATCAACTTTGAACCTGAGGCTGTGTTGAAGGGAGTTGCTGTGTTGAGTTTTGTCCCTTGGGAGGAATTTTTGTGGCCATTGCACGTAACGCATTTGCAATTTCAGTGAAATTTGGTCTCTCTGATGGCTCGGATGACCAGCATCTTTCCATTAATGATCTCCATTCTGGGTCGCAAGATTCAGGCACTGGTGGACGCAATGTGTTGCTCACAATACCGCCTGAAGTGCATTTAGAAGCAATAATAAGTTGAGAATAGATCCATGTTACTAGTGAAAATTAGAAACTCCATAATTTTCAGTGCAAGTAGAAGTGTTACCTATAATAGCCCCGTAGTGCAAGTCTGCATATGGCTCTTCTCCAGTTAGAAGTTCCCACAGCACAACACCAAATGAGAACACATCAACCTAATTAAACATAAGATCAAGAAAGCATAAGCTGGTTAAGTGAGAGAAGAAATACTTCAACTTTTGAATAGTGTAAGAAAATAACAAATATAAAAAAAATATATGTTTATACCTTCTCAGAAACAAGACTACTGCTGCCATTAAGAAGTTCTGGTGCCATCCATGGAAGTGTTCCCCGAACACCACCTGAGATAAGTGTTTGACGTTTCACCTTGGACAAGCCCAAATCACCAACCTGGAGCAAAATTAGAACTGAGAATGGGGATTGTTTGAGATATTGACTCTGCATTTACCAACTATAGAAGCAAAAATAAAAAGCATTGTCCCCTTCTCACACCATCAAAAAACACTTCCTAAGGAGTGGGGGAAGGAAGTGCCTTTTGTTGAGGGGTTGGGTAGGGATGAGCATATGTGCGATGACCCAGAACTTACTTAAAATGGAATCCTCAACCTTCAATCTAAAAGTCAGAGTCTAACCAACCTACCTACCCACCCCCTGCAGATCATAACACAGCATAATTTATACGTGGTGCATTTTTGGAAATGGAGATTTGTTGCCCACAGGAGATGCCAACTATAACAATTTTTCATAAAAAATGGGATTCTGTTAGGACTTCTACTAATGTCAAAAGCACAAGTTTCTTGAAATTAAGAACCAATGATGTAAATAATAACCTCATAAACCACCAAATATAAAGACATAATGCAATAACCTGGCCAAAATATAGAAAGAAATCAAAAGACAGAGGGAAACTGATACCCATTAATGACAACAGAATAAATAATTGAGAAAGAAATCCACTATGAACATTCAGTTTTAAAACATTTGTTGCGGTGCATTAGAGTAAACCAATAAATCAGAGATCACCAGAAAAAACTCCCTTTCTTTAGCTCTGGTCACTAACCTTGCATATTGGGCGGTGAGGATCTCGAAGATTGACAAGTAAATTGTCACTCTTCAAATCGAAGTGTACTATGTTCTTTCCATGCAAATATTCCATCCCAAAAGCCACATCCATTGCAATCAGGAGACGCTTACGCTTGTCAAGGCTCCTAATAACAACCATGTATGCAAAAAAAATTAAATCCCATAGAAAATCAAGCATTGATATAAATGGTAACTGATACAGAAATGAAATAAGAGACATAAACTGAAAAAGAACACACCTCTCATTCTTCTGCAAAGCATTTCTTAAAGAACCATTAACCATGTATTCTGTAACAGTTGCCACAGAACGTCCAGGACCATCAAGCACAACACCATAGAAAGCAACCACATTTGGATGGTGCAGGTCTGCAAGTTTAATTGCCTCATTCCAGAAATCTTCTATCTGATTTTATGCAAATAGTAAAACCAAGAAAACTTAATAACAGAGCAAATCCCAGAAAAGGAATAATACAAGGAACAAACACAAACCATTCGATCTTGTTCAGAAGGTTTCCCAGCAAAACACCTATCATTGATCCGTTTAATTGCAACATCACTACCCCTCCACTTCCCATGATACACAGTTCCAAAGGTGCCAGAACCCAATTCTTGCAGCTCTTCAAGGTCACTATTTTTTATAATCTGGCAACAAATAAACAAATGTGTAATACATATATACACATTCCCTAACATAGAGGGCCACAACTATATAACCACAAAAAATCAAATACCTGTAAGCGACCAATGCCTTCTGATACTGGAAATCCAATACTCACCTTTTCTGGCAGTTTACTTTTCATATCCTGAATTAATCGTGTAAAAGAAAGGACAGTTAAAGTTCCATTAAGCACTTGTTAAACAAATAATGGCATCAAGTCACCAACAAGGAAAATACAAAATAAATATGTGCACACGGAGACATCCAAAGCAAAAAGGATTGAGCACCTCAAATTTAGCTTTGTGATGCATTTCCGCATCTTTAACAGAAACTTCCTTGTCTTGACAAGCTGATTCATGTTTTTCAACCAATGAGTCAGTACTAACATTAACTGACTGAAAGACAGATGCAACAACATCCTCAGCTACAGCCTGAAGTTCTTGCTTGATGAGTTCCTCTGTTGAAACTTTAATAGTAAATTCCAAGCACCAATAAAGAAGTAACACAAGAGACGATTTAGTTCCACATATACAGACAAATATAACCATGAAAAGCAACAACTTTCTGACCTTGAAATGATTGATCTTGTTCACTTTTTGCATTGATCAGTGTCTCGGAAACTCCATCCCCCAACAGCCTCCCTGCAACTAGTTCTCCAGCATTACTCAAATAGTTCTCACTGAAAGGATCCTTAGTATCAAAGGTTTCTTTCTTTGTAAGAATTTTGTTGGGTCTAGGAGGAGGAAGATGAGCATCATGCCTTAGACTCCAAGGATCCTGGCTACTGAAAAGGGAATTTGGAGAATCATGAACATCTACAAGTCTACTAGATGATGACAAGGAAGATGGCATATTAGGCGAGTAGGCTGTCTCAGCACCTAGGAATGTAGGGTTTCCATAACTAATCTCATCAGAATCCAGGAGATTAATTCCAATATTAGATTGTGGATATGGTCCTTGATTACCCAGAATGGACGGTTGTGCAACTTCATATGATTCCATCAGTCGAGAATTATACAAATATGAAGCTTCTGTAGAAACAGGCAGCACTTTAGGCTGCTTGATATGATTTGAGTCGAGAACCACCTGAGGTTTGTGTAAGGTGTTATCCAGAATTGCATCCCTTCCAGTCATTTCTAGTGGGCATGCCCGGAGATTTTCCATCATCCCCTCAATTGGGCTCAGCTGGTCATTGGATACATTAGCGTCAACAATATTTTCTTTGGAAACATTAAGAGGTAGTTTGCCAGAGTAATCTACTGGGGATTCATGAGCCATGCGTTCTGTACCTTGAATTGCACCAGCAAAATGAGGGGAATCGCTGTTGATAGGCTTGTTAAATAACGCCTCCTCGTTCACCCGATATTGGCCTATAACTAGATGCTGCTGTCTAGATTCTTCCTGGTGAGGTTGAGTAACTGCACCGGTGAAACCAGGCACTGAATTGTCACTTTTCTGCATAGCACTTCTCTCATCTTCATGCAGTGACTCAAGATTTTGACAGAAAATAGCCGGCTCTGATTGCTTCAATCCAATCTGATGATCAACATGGCTAGGGACAGACGGTCGAGCCCCAACAGTCTGTTCAACAATGCCATCACCCAAACCTCCCATACCCCGGTTAAAAGTCTGAACTTTCGTAGCATCCCCTAAATGGAGACTAAGATGTACCGAGTTTGAATCCGATAAAGGGCTTACACCACTCTCTCTTTGGTCATGTGCCAAAGGATCCGAATGAGCATGAGGCAAAGCTTTTTGACACATAAAGCAGTCATCCAATCTTTGAATTTTCTCAGGAAAAATTACATGTTGATGAGGCATTGATCCATCAGAGAAGACAACATGCTCTGTCTGCGGAATTGGATGCCACGTATAACCTCCTCCAACAATTGGAGTCGAAAATTGGCTTTGATAAGCACTATAGCTTGGGTCGAGAGGAAGCTGAACAATCCTTGAGCCAAATGAATTTTCATCAGAATAGTGCTCCAAATGATTTTGTTGAGGTTGCACTAATGGTTGAACCATAGTTGGCCTCATAGCAACATGGGAAGGGGAAGATGCTGGTGCCATTGTCATATGTACTGTAGGAATAAACTGATGAGGGGCAACACCTGAATTACTGTCAGGTATCTGCTGTTGATTGAATCGTATCTGAGCATTTGGAAATCTCATCTGGGTAGGAAGATGCATATTTGTAACTTCCTGACGATCCACATATGCCTGCAGGTGAGGTGCAGACAGCGGAATGCCCATTCCGGCTTGCTGGAAATCATATCCCACTTGCTGTTGTGACACAGTAACAGGTACAGACCGCTCAAATTCAATCTCAGGCTGTGAAGATAAATTTTGGGGAGGAACAGATTTTACCATAGGAATGCCCGAAGACACAGTAGATACAGGATTAGGTTCCACAGGCAGAAATTTTGGATTAGAGTCCTGAGGAGTTGGTGCCCCACTCACATCCACTTGACCAGGACCTAAGCTATCAACTGCCTCAGTAACGCTAAAATCAGAGTTCTGAGTTGAAGTTGCACTTGTTATACTCCCCTTCCTAGCAATACCACCAAAACCACCTTCCATACCGTTTATTGCATCAACATATCTTTGTCCACTGTCATGTAAATCCCCAAATTGCACCATGCCAGATGAATCAAGCTCCATAGCAGAAAACAAAAACACCCTTAATTTAGCTGACCCATCAGAAGATCTCTCAGCCAACTTCTCATACTCATCCATCATATTATCAAGATCATCAGGACAAGAAACTGATACCAGTGCATCAAGATCCTCATCAGGAAGCTGGTATTTGATAACTGCAGGTTGGCCGTAAGTATCCACCATTTTCTGCACCAGCTCATTAAAGCTCACATCTCTTCTCAAACTAATGATCCTCGTTTGCCCTCCAACATATCTTAACGTACCATCGCTAGGTCTAGGCAAAATCTTTCCCCCAAAACTACACAAAAACTTGACTTTCTTCCCTGAAACTGAATCATCCCCACCCTCTTCGCTTGCATGATCAACTGCACTGCCACTACCACTAGCACTACCACGGCTCCCCAAGTTGGAATTATAACCACATCCAGGACTTGTCAACTCATTGCTCCCATTCAAATTAACCCGATTTCCCAAATGATTAACATTACCCAACCCAGTTGCCAAATCATTACCAGCTCGATCAACAGCATTACTAACCACCCTATTCCCCAAATTGGGATTATAACCAAACCCTACACCAGCAGGACCATTCACGCCCACATTTACACTACCAATCGGCAATGGTATGCGTTGGGCCCACGGAGGCACGCCTGGGACAGGGTTAGCATATCCTAGACCAATAAAACCAGCATCAGATACCGTTGCTGGGTAATAAACGGGTACAGAGCCATCTGGATTTGCAAAAATTTCTGGGTTTCTGATAGTGTTCGCAGCTGTGGTTGTTGCCATAGTAGGTACACTAGTGGTAGAAGCAGTCGCCGCAATGCGGGGCTCTTCGGATAAGTTTCTGGCAACGTGTATTTGCCTTAGATCTTTTGACATGTAGTTCTGATCAAACGCCATATATACAATTATAACTGGGAAATGAATTAAAATCTAAAGAAAAAAAAAACTAGGGTTTTGCGGGTTCTATTCTATGCATTTTCTAGTTTCAAAAACTAGAATAAACCCACAAAAATTCATATAAAAAATACGACGCTCCAAAACTCAAATAGATTTCAAAGAGATAAAAGGAGGAGAAACAAATACCAGATTTGCACGGTGACTATATTAATAGATAAGAAAAGAAATAAGAACACAACAGAGACACACAGACTAGTAACCGAGTCGGTGCAGGGTAAGCTTGAATTTGGGAGGTTTTGGACCTTCGGTGAATCTCTTTCTCACTCCTCCTTTTGTCTCTCTGAATCTTTAAAATCTTAAAATCAGAAAAAGATCATTTTTTTTTTAAGGATTTGGAATTATTTGGTGGGTTTTTCATTAATTTTAATTTTATTTAATGTTTATACATGCGAAATTAAAATTTAGATATGCTGTACTGAAAATTGGGACAGAGGAGAAAAGAAGAGAAGACTGGTCGTTTTGCTTATGTTTTTTATTTAATTTCTTATGCTTTAAGGAAGGAGATTGAACAAGAGAAAAGGGGTTAAGACACGTGGACTGTTTCATGCAAATTTCTTGTCAAAATTGCTTTTTTATGCATTTGATAGTGGAAATTCGAAAATGACAAGATTGTGTGAGGGAGACATGAGAGAGTCATTAAAGATAGATAGAGATAAAAGGAAAATCCCCACTCAAATTCTTCATTTCCCTACAAGAAAAGAATTCAATATTTAAATCTTAATGACTTGATTAATTCTTATTTTGGTTTAATTCGACAAGTGGTATTAGAAATGATCTTTCTTTATATATATATATATATAAAACATATTGAAAATTAATATATTAGTGTTAGGAATTTCAACTTTTAAGGGTTCATTTATAAATTTCAATTTTTAATTATCACTACTATTTTAATTAATATATTTGATAAAATAATCTGAAATAAAATTTAAGAATTTAAATATGAGAAATTGTTGTGTAAGTTCATATTCTAACTCTCTATTTATTTAGTATCATTTTTATGAATTTTAAAAAAAATTTCTTTATTAATCTATATTTAAATTGGATCATTCGAGGTATTTTTAAGAAATTTATTATAACTAATAGCTATATATAGATAATAATAACTTATTTTTTCTTTTTTAAGAAAAACATGGTGGAAGTCATGAAACCTGTGAGAGGAACTATCTAATAAATGAAAACACAAACTAATGGATGAAGCATACTCAAAACTATTTATAATTAATAGATATAAAGATAATTTTAAAAAAGATATATACTTATAATTATCACTATCTATATTTATCTGTGACGGAGTCACATAAAAATGTTTAAGGGGAAAATAAAATCTTCACAAATTTAGAAATGCCAAATCAAAAAAGAAATGTAATATTAAAAAGAAAATGGAGAGGAGCTCACATGCCTCACCAACCACCACCAATATCTGTATGTCCATATAAATTTTATGTATTAAAGCTGTAAAAAAAGAAATTTCACTCATTTTACTTAGTATTTTATTTATTTATACATTTATTTATTGATTTTTATATAATTTTCAAAGTAAAATACATATTAATTGATAAGGTTACGTATACATCAAACCAATTACAAAAATATTTTGATTTAAACAATAATATTTTTACCAATACATTAGAAAAAAAGATAAAATAGTAACATTTAAAAAAAATATTTTTTTTGAGTGGCTTCGCATACGCTAATGTAGGCAAGAAATTTTCCAATTTAAAATATCGCAATTGATTTGGCAGATTTCCAATATATAAACCTAAAAACACACTAATAAAGAAATAAAAGTTACTGTTTTGGTAATATTTTAAGAATATGCATTTCAAAAGAAGATTTGCTTGTATTATGATATGTATTGTTTAACTATGTATAGGTGAATAGTGGTTGAGTGTTTTTTTTTTCAGTTATCTATTAGGAAGACAGTTGGTAGTTGTAATTACTTTTAGGTAGGTTCGCGAGTTAGTGGATTAGTGCTTGAACTTGAACTTTCTAATACTACAGTTAATTATGGATAATACTACAATTACTTTAATTGGCAATTAATCAGCCGACAGTCTATAGTCACAAAAGCAAGAAAGCTAAGCAAAGTTGGATAAAGTGCACACAATTGTTAAGATTTAATTACAGTAATTAGTGCTTGACTTTGTTGATACACAAGTGCTTAATACGCGTAGAAGGAAGTAAAAAACTAATTCTTTTATTATTATTATTTTATTAGGAGTGGAGCTATCGTGATTTTTTTGAAAGGATTTTATCTGAATATTAACAAAAAAAAAAAACAACTATGATCTAATAATCAAAATCAAAGTAAGAATTTTTATTTTAATTTTTAATAATTGACGTGATCTAAGCCGTTGGTTGTTGCCTTCACCAAATAAACCTTTGTTCCCTATTATAGTGGTTGTTCTCTAGCAGTTATTGATAATATTATATTCTTCCTTTTTTGAAATTTGAATAATGGAGAAAATAATTTTATTATCTTAAATTTTTTACGTGTTGAAATTGAAAAGAGAAAGATGATATTGAAGTAGGTGATAAAAATTTTAGTTTTTGGAGTTTGACTGTAAAACAAAATTCTTTTAATTTTTTGAAAATAAATTTGATTTGATTTGATACAAAGTGAATTATCTTTTGAATTTATACTTTTTTTTTTTAAATCTAACTTGATTTTTCTAATTTAAATACTCAATCTTTTGAGTTGAGCCAATAAGAATAATCTCCTATATATCTTTTCATGTGTTTTTTTTTATAATGAAATTTAAAAGTATATATACATAACTAATTAATTAAATTTTGGAAAGCAAAAATTCTTAGAAAAAAAAAGGAAAAAAAAAAAAAAAAGAAAAACCACAAGATATTCTTAATTAGCTAGGGTGTGCCATCATACTATAGAAAAAAAAAATCAAAATAAAAAGAACAGAAAAAATAAATAATAATTATATACAATAATATCTATATCATAGATGTTAATTAGGTGAATCAATATAGCATATGATGGATGCTTAAAGATGCTGTTGACTGACTTGTAACCAACAACCAAAGAGAGGCAGTTGAACCTTTAAATTTGTGGGGCAAGTGTTGTCTTCTCATTTTTCCACACGTAGGATCTCAAAGATGGTGATTCAAGGCTTTCTTTTTTTTTTTTTTTTTTTTTTTTGTTGACTGACTTTGAACCAACAACCGAAAGAGGAGGCAGTTGAACCTTGTAAATTTTGTGGGGCAAGTGTTTGTCGTTCTCATATTTTCGACACTAATTCTCAAATGGTGACTTCAGGTTTCTTTTTTTTTTTTTTTTTTTTTTTTCCCTTTACTATTAATTAAGGTATGTGGAATAAGATTAGTTTGACTTTGAAGAACGACATTTAATTAATGATAAATGAAAATGATGGTTCTACTGCATATTACTTTATCCATAAGTAAGAGTTTGAGTAAAACTCGTAATCAGCTAATTATAAAGTTGAGCCTTAAAAAAAAATTTTAATCAATTTAAACTTTAAATTCACATTATCGAAACTGAATTTAGTTTAAGTTTAAAATATATAATAAAAATTATAATTTTTTTAGTTTTTTTATGTATACTATTAATGACTGTTTGGATTTCAATTTTGTTAAATCTGAATCGAAGATGAATTTTAAATTTAAATAGTATATTAATAGCTTAATTCAATCTTTATGGATTGCCTAAATAAATGATTTATTTCAAAAGGCTTTTTGTAAAAAAAAAATTTATATTAGGCATCAATGTACCAAGCCAATTCGTTGTATATGTAGTCGCTTTAGTGCCATGACAAGACTGGAACTGATACAAGTGGGTTTGTTATGACACATCATCATGGAGGCCATTCATTATGCAATGCAAACACATTAGATTATGGACATATAGGCTACACCCATATTGATGAGTCATTACATACATTGCATAGCTAACCTGAAATTCTTTTTTCAGTTATGAAAAAACTTGATAGAGAATCTCATGCTTTTTTTTTTTATTTCATATGGAGATAATGTAGTAGCAATCATATTAAACTAAACATTAGGTTAATCATTTTTGTTTTCTAATTTTATGAAATTAAGTGAAATTTTATTATAAGTAATATGATAAATAAAATAGTATTCAAATTAAGATTTACTCCTTTACTCTTAAAGTAGTGATCCGAAAACGCCCTCAAATATAGTTTATAATTAAATATTAATATAATTAATCATAAACCAAGTCAAGCATTTTTGAAATCGAAACCGATTTTATAATCTAGTTCTGTTATACTAGCGTTTAAATAGGTTTTTTATTTTTTGAAAAATAGAAGATTTTGATAAAGAACGTAGTAGTACGAGAAGAAACTTATTTAAAAAACCAATCCAAATTCAATATCAAAACTACAATCAATCCATTACTTAATTATACAAGTATCATTCATTGTTCCTATGTACTTAAATGACCTATTGAAATCAATTTTAACCCAAAAACGGCTTGACATTTACTAATATTTTCACATAAATATAAAATTCACATGAATTAACACGTATTCAATATATAAAAAAAAAAATTGCCTGTGTCAGTAATTATTTCACTAGAAATATTCCATATCCCATAATATTGATGCATATGTACTTTGTAGTTTGTAATAAACATTATTTATATTGTGTAGGTTGGAAAAGGTTAGGGGAGACGACGAACAGTATAATTTAAGCACAAAGAGAGTCAATGCGGTCAAAGAGGAGAAGCTTGCAATAGCATGGGGTTTGGAATTTTTAGATCTTTTGTTTTGATGGAAGCCTGCCCTCAAATTAGGGAAAACGCATGCCAAGTCATGGACGTAAACTTATTTCTTGTTCAAACTGAAAATGAAGGCATTTGTATGACCTATGTGTGCCCATCTGAGTCTAAACAAATATTCCGTTACAAAAACACCTTTGAAAATCAACAGTACAATAATTATAATTAGTATGTGATGTTGGATTTTGTTGCCTTATTAACTACAGTTACAAGATATTATAATAATAAGCGAAAAGCAAAGTTAAAAGATTAAAATTTGTGGGTAAGAGGATGGATACCAAAGTTTTACCGCCCAGTTGTGATATGTGTCTTTGCGTTTTGCCATTAATTGCGTTTTGCCACAAATTTGCGTTTATGCCACGGAACTTGTTACTTAAAGTTGCCCAGTTGTTCTTAATATGGCTCACCTAGATAGTAAACACTTCCACTTCCAAATTACACCCAACCACCTCTGTTAGCTCTCTTTCACTCTCTTTGAAGTCAAAATGTGACAAATCACATTACAGTACCATAAAAAACCAAACTACAAGTACCTTTCCGTTTCCTTCTTTCTTCTTTTTCCCCGCTTCACTTGATTAAATATTGAGGCCAAATGGATGGTTATATAAGATTCCAACGAATGTAATTCCAACGTCCCCAAATGAATTTTTTTTTTTTAAAAAAAATTTATAGTTTAGG